GTCTACCATCAGGGTACCGGGGCATGCAGAACATCTGTCCCGTCGATCTGCCTTATTTTGGCTTGGTCCCAGTGCTGAAGATTGAAGGTGCTGCTGCATATTGCAGTAATGATTCTCCGAAGTAGGGACCCCCTTACACATCCTTACCCTAAACCTAAATATCCCTAATCCCTAAATACTTCAAGATTGTGTACTAAGTTAACTCTGCCCCAGGACCTCAAAGGCGGCAAGCTTGGGAACCCAGAACCCCAAACCCGAACACCCTAAATTTCCTTCCAGGATGCACCAACCCTAAACCCTGGACGCGGCCTCGAGGGCAGCCGCCAGGACCACCGCCAGCAGAACCTTAGAGGGCGATTTTGGGTAGAGCGAGCGCGAGAGAGAGAGACAGAGAGAGAGAGAGAGAGAGAGAGAGAGAGAGAGAGAGAGAGAGAGAGAGAGAGAGAGAGAGAGAGAGAGAGAGAGAGAGAGAGAAAGTTCCGTATCCGATAGAGAAAGAGTTCCATGCCCATTGCCCAGGCCACGCACCATGTCCACTGGGCCGATGATGAAGCAGGAGAAGCTGTGACCTTTGGCTTTAGAGCGGCTTGGGGATCTCTCTTAAACTGTAGGCACACAAGGGTGAGAGAGCACAGACTTTTTGGCGACCTTGACGTTGGGACCATCAGGCTGCTGGAAGGCATTGCCCTCTCAAAAGGCGACCGCCCATTCCGGGTGTGCCAGGCGTCAGGAAAACATTGCCCTTTCAAAAGGCCCTTTCCCGACACAATTAATCAGAGCAAAAGCATGTACACTGTGCTGCACATGTACGGCTCTTATGTGAGCTTTGGCGCCCAGGGATCGAAGATACTCCACTGGGCCACGTAGGCCGGCAAAACCAAGCCAACTCTTTCAAGCAGGCAGCTTAAAGGACATCAGGAGGGGACCCTTGAAAAGGCCGGACCCTTAGACCAATCTTATTCATGTCAGTCCTTATTACAGCCTATAATAAGGACCTTACTATTCATGTATATTATAGTCCGCCCAAGGATCCCTCGGCACTCAGTGGCGGCGCCTCGCAATCTCCGCCTCATGAAAACGACGAATGTCCGTCAAGTCCTGAAAGTCCTGCTGCCAGCAGTTCGTCTCCATGGCCATGTGCTCCATCGCGATTAGCAGATAGCGAAGCTTCTTGGCATAGCCTCTTTCCTCGTAGGTGCCATGGTACCACGTCCAGTACATGTAGCCCTCCAAGACGTCCGTAGCCCGGCGGGCATTGCCGACCAAGTCCTGCCTGAAAGTTGGCAAGACCAAGTCCAAGACCGTCTGGCCCGTCCATTTCCCTACAGCCGCCTCCTTCCAGCCAACGTACTTGATGCCATCTGGGCCGTCCCCCTCCAACATCTGGCCTCTGTAGAGGTGCCGATGCTGGGTCACCTCATCGTTGACGTGCCCTTTTTTGTAGGCCGTCAATGACCGCAGCATCTCGTTCGTGCTTTCCTCGTCCAGGATCCACAGCAAGCAGTCCTCGACCTTCTGGATCGTTGGGATCCTTTGCATGTCCAGCGCCATGGGAATGGCACGGGCTGAGGAGGACCGGGGGCTTGCCCAGGCCGACACACTAAGGCCGACAGAGGCCTTTCTAACCGCCGACACAGGCCTGTCTGAGTCCGACACAGGCTACGGAGGCGTGCGTGTATGGGCTGAATGTGTTGCACGCGCAGTCATGCCAGTCCCCCATGCCCCCTCTTCCCGAAGCCTAGACTTGCTCCTGGGACGCAGACCGACCGCTGGATGAGGATGTTCTGGACGTCGACCTGAAGCGAGGCAAGTCAAGGGTAAGGGCCGCAATCGCAGCGACGTCCCACTTGCTTCTCAGGCCTGTCCATGTCCGCAAACAGCTCCTGTCCTGATTACCAGGACTTTCTAAGGGCACGCACTGCTTCGGCTACTCTTGGGCTTGCACAGTCCTGGCGCAGTCTACGGTCAAGGGTCGAAAGCAAACATCCAAGGGTCAGGCCTGTTCGGACAGCACGAAAAGGAAGAACGAATACTCGCAGTACCTCGTGAAGTGTTGCCGACGGGCTATTTGGAAGGAGGGGTGTAGGGCGCCAAGCCTTTGCTGAGATGTTGCTTTTGGGAGGAAGATACATAAGAGTGTGACCCTTTGCCCCCGTGTTACTCTTGGGCCTGGCTTCTGAAGCCAACCTCTAACGACATCCTTCCTGGAAACATAGCCTGTTCTTCAGGCCCTCAAACCGAAACATGTCAGGAAGTTCGAGGCTTCAGCTGAAGATCATCGCGAAGAAACGGAAGCCAGCACCTTCGTCGGGTCGGGGCTTGTTAGGCTTCGCGCTTGGGGTCCGGGTTGAAAACTAATGGTGCCCTAGCCGTGACAAAAAGAAAAAATCAGGAACTGTGAACCCCTCACCGAACCAACCCTCTCGTGGCACCCTTTAAACCCCGCCAGCGCCCTCTGCCTCAGACCCTTAAAGCCGTGTTTGGGTCTGCGTTTGGGCATTCCATACAACCCCCGCAGCCGAGGCAAAAACACAATATCGGGATAATAGGGCTCCCGCGTCACGGTTTAAGGGTTGTGTTTGGCTTCCATTCTCTCTATGTGTTTTGCGGGGTTTAGGGTTTTCGGAGCCGAGTTAGATAGACGTGCTGATGAGCAGGATGGTCAATCGTGTCACAATCGGTCTCGTGGTCTGTGTTTAGGGGCGCCATAAGCATGCCAGACGGTTCAAGGGTTTGGCCACATCTATTTAATCGGAACGCTTTAGGGTCCAGGTTGACGAGTGCAATCTTTTGTGCCTGCCTTTCCTCGCGATCCGCGCGGACTCAGACTCAGAGGCCGAGACCAATGTTTTACCCCTCTGTACCCCGGGTTGCCACGCAGATAGAGCTTCCCTTCATCCATTTTTCGGAAGCATCTCGGGGGCTGAGCGTCCAAGGAAACGAAGAAATGCATACAACAAGAGACCTAAACCCCTAAACGTGAGCCCTCAACTCGAAACCCTACACGCCTCTGCCTTTCAAGTGGTGAGTTTCTTGGATTGTCCTTCATGCGTGAGCTTCATAAAAGCACACGAGAGGCCGACTTGGTCCAAACTACAGCATCCCTCACCCCCGAATGAAATCTGCTGGCCAACGGAACACGTGAGATGTGGGCCGGGACTACATGGAAGCGAGAGATAGTGTTCTTGCACTACTAAGGAAAACTTACTTACCAAGTCCCATTGTCCTCGCACTCTCACTGTTCACCCCAAAGAGTTGTGTGAGACGCCTGCGGCACGGTCGAGGCTGCGAATCTGCTTAAAGAGCTGCCACAGCACGGCAGCCGCTGCGGCACGCTGAAGCTTCACAATCTTAGCAGCAGCAGGACGACCCCGCCGGGCCATGAACTTTGGGCGAGCCTTTGGTTTCGCCTTGGGGGCTGCCTTCTGATCCTCTACAGTCCTAAACATTGTCCATTGTCCTTTAGACAAAGTGACCAGAGAAGCCAGGAAGTCTGACGCTTCCTGAGCCCCGGGTTCCGGGTCATAGATGAGCACCGTCCGCACCTGGGTTCGCAGCAATGTCGTGCGCGGACCAAGCACGAAGCTAGACATTGAAGGTCGTGAATGCTACGCTTTGTGGAAAGTCAACATGCGACGAGGCACGTCCAGGGCCCGACGATGACACACTAAGCCAGTAAGCTGCCCTGACCCAGTCGCAAAGGCGACCCAAGCATCCTTGGAAACCACTGCGCGGCCAAAGGCGGCGACCGTGCAGGCCACCTTGGCCCAGCTTCGTGAAGTCGTTTCTTCCACCGCGAAATCGGCCAGGTTGTCCGCAATGACCAAATGGCACTGGGCGGCAAACGTAAGGATGCCGTTGTCCTGGGTTCGCTGGAAGCGGACATCACGACCTGCCTCATTTGGACTTGGAGCTGGCTCTCTGCACAAGTCCAGTATCCTCCACCTCGCCAAGCCCAGTAGATGTTGCACGGCAAACTTGTCCGGACCACTTGCATGCTTCTTGAACACGCAGCCCTTGGAAAGTTGAGGCATGCTGAAGGCCTGGCCACCCGTCCTGCGCGACTGGATGACCTCGGAGTTGTTCGACTTGATGACGGCCTCAGGACTTCTAGCGGCGCTTGGCTAGCAGGACTGCGAACAAGCCTGATGTTAAAAGGTCGATTCCGCTTTGGCTGTGCTTTCATTTCTCACTAGCCGCCTTACAACTCATGAACAAGCCACAAAGCCTAGCCCAGTCTGTTAGTCCCATCTCCACCGAGGCACCGTGCGCTTCTTGAAGCGCGTCATCGCCTCATTGTCCTCTTGTGGCCGACTCTGCAACATCCGGCGGCCTTCGGCCAGTGTCAAGTCGGGAAGCACACAGGCCGAACTCGCAGACCCCGACCTGGAAGCCCTCTGGCCGAGGCCCTTTGACTGAGCAGCTTTTGTAGCTATTTTGGAGAACTTTGAAGGAGCTCTCGCAGGCGGTCGCGGTCGCTTTTTCTGGTAGACGCGAAAGCGCCTGCCATGAAGACCTGTCCAGCATCGGGCAAAAGTCCGAGAAAAGTCCGTCGGAAGAAGTTGCCCGCTGCCCTCTGTGGCTATCTCGTCCTCCGTGGTAACATGTTTCAATCATCTGATCGAAAACTACACAAAAACCAGAGATAAAGAAGAATGACCACCGACTGGGTCCCAAAAGCCAGCCAAGGATCCGGTTTGGAGGGGCCATCGCACCGCAACATCAGCAGGTGCGAGTACGTTGTCCCACTCCCTTCCAGAGGCCCGCAATGGTTCTCCAAGATGTGTTTGCCGATGGAGTGGGCCCTCTCGACCGACCCTGACGCAGGTTCCTGGGCCAAGTACCGTTGGGGCCCACAGCCGTTCAAAGTACAGCTGCATGAGATCTAACAGCTGCAGCTTTCGTTTGATTCGTATACATTCGTACACTTTCGTATGCATTCGTACACATTCGTACACTTTCGTATACTTTTGTATGCTGTCTGCACGTGCTTCTAGCATCTGCGTGTGTGTACCCATGCATAGGACTACTATAGTTAGCGACTCTGTGTCGCGATCAGAGGCCCAAGCTGCACAGATCGTCTCAGCCCGTTTAACAGCGCATCCTGCCATGACACGGCAACGTCCATGCTGCCAGCCAACGGAAGATATAGGTGGGCGCAGTGAAAAAAACCCTAAAGCCCTAGAAACCCTAGACAGCTAAACAATCCTAAGTCCGAGGATGCATTCGCAGCTTGTGCTGCGACGAACTGCTGCATTGCAAGGGGTCACACAGTCCGAGTGTAGTGCGCTCAAAGGCAGTCTTTGTGCGTGCGGCCACTTCAAGTGTAGAGTCTCGCGAGTGTGCGCTGCAGAGCAAGCATTTGGCTTCTGTGTAGCAGCTGTGACTTTGCAACTGTGTGTCCTTGCTCGGCATGGCTTTGGCAGAGCTGCATGGTGAAAACGCAGCGGTGGACCAACCGTGGCGCTCAGTACGTTCCCTGATCGCAGCGCATGCAACTCTGAATGTTGCACGTATATAGGGTGCAATTCGATAATATTGAGGGTTAGGGTTTAGGGTTTAGGGTTTAGGGTCTAGGGTTTAGGGTTTAAGGTTTACGGTTTAGGGCTTAGGGTTTAGGGTAATTATAACCGCCCTGAAATTTAGGACCTGGTTCGATTTCGTGGAACGAAGAGGAAGTCGCAACTTGTTTGCACCAGCTTCTGCGTCGGCAGCGGGCAGCACCCCACCATGTACCATGACACTCGATGTGCCTTGCTACAGGAAAGGGTTGCCTCACGAATGGCGGCCAATCTTTCCGCTCGGGCTCGGGAAATCATCACCGGCAATGAGCTGCCCGTGGGGTGCCAGGTCATTGCTCTGCAGAGCGAAATCGGCTATGCCACTGTGAAGGAAACAGAGTTGTGCAGCCAGGGGTTTTGGCACGTGGGCGTGGTCATGCGTGTCAGGCACCGTGGTTCTTGTGACTTGCAGGAGATTGGGAAGCACTATGGCTTCTTGTATGCTCTCTGCCAAGACTACCCAGATCGCGTGGCTTATCTTCCATTTTTGGAACGCCTGTGAGTTCGTTCTCAATTCTAGGCACGCGCGATAACCTCTCGGCCCAGGTTCCTTCGGGCTTCCTGCTGACGGACATTTGGCTTCGCCTGGACGAGAAGTTCAGGGGTGGCCTCGTCAAGCCGGCGCCGCCGGATTCGAAAGTGACACACGCAGCGAAGGAGGCCAAGCGCCTCAAGAAGCTGATGGGGTCGCTGCGGTATTTGTACCGCAATGGCTTCCTTGATGCAACTGCCAGTTTGACAATGTACCAGTGGCAGTCCACGAACTTCTTTCAGAATCTTCAGGCCCGTGCTATGTGCACTTAGGTCCAACTTCAAGCGATGACCGGGTTGCAGTCCTCAAGCAGCTACTTACTAAATCGCCAACTCGCTCTCGAAGAGAGGCTCCGCAGCCAGTGGAGGCGGAGGAACCTGCTGCCCCGGCAGAACATGCTCGCAATCCAGAGCACGACTTACGCATGCATGTCGCTGGAGGCACATATCTGGGAAACACACACACACACACACACACACACACACACACACACACACACACACACACACACACACACACACACACACACACACACACACACACACACACACACACACACACACACACCTTGCAAATCATGTACAATGAAACACGGAAGCCACTTTTGCAAGCAGGCTACAACGATGGCTTGTCAGAGGAAGCTGGCTCAGATGGCCACGAGGCCAGTGCAATCCTATACCGGAAAACCCTAATCCCTAAGTCCTATAGACCCTAAACCTTTAGCTCTTATAACACTTTCCCTCTTTTGTACAACGACGACCCTCGAGCCTGCGCGTGCATACCAGGAAGATGAGTCGAGGTCAGCGTCTGACACGGACGCGTGCGATGATTCTCCGGGAGAAGGCACAATACATTTTGATGGCGACGTGAGGTCTGTGGTTTCCACTCGATATATGGTCCTTCAGATGACATTGAAGTGCCAAGTGAGTTCAAGGAAGCCAAGGTGCACTCGTGTAGGAGAAACTTTTGGGCTCTACCACTCTAACGCATGACGCCTGCAGGTTTGGAAGCCGTCGAGGAGCTCGCTCGCCCTGTCATCCCTGGAGGTGCCAACAGGGTTTATAGGGTTTATAGGCTCTAGCCAGAGTTAAGGAGCACGCAGACTGGATGACCAGTTATAGAGTGCCACATGGTTTTGTTTTTTTGCGGCTGCAAATACCAAATGAGTGGGTCAGGGAACCTGTGTCTGGGCTTGAACTTTCCACCCTCCGCCTTCACGCAGGCAGAGATGTCGAGGAGCACACAGACTGCAGCATCCGCGGAGGTCCCACATGGCTGTTCTACGGTTGCGAATACAGACGTGAAGGGAACCTGTGCTTGGAGTACCCTTTGCCTTCAGGCAGAAGCTTCGAGGAGCACTTGGACTCCAGCGACTCTGCAGGCGCCATATCGTTTGTATTGAACTTCAAAAATAATTCTTTCCCTCCCTCCCTCTCGTCTTGCTTGCTTAGTCTTTCTCTCTCTCTCTGAGTCTATTTTTTGTTTCCAGATACCACACAAACGAGAACACGTGTGTAAATCATTCCCCTTTCCGTATTTCCCACGAAGGCAGCGACGAGGAAGTGGGCGAAGACACAGACAGCCAGCGCACCTTGTACTTAGGCGCGCCGTCGTTCTCAGATCCAGATTCACAAAGAGCCCAACACCCCAATACACCTTAAGCCATATAGGGACCCTTACTCTGATTTAAGGCATCTTCCTGATTTGGGGGTATTGGGTTCGTTGGGGACCTAGTTGTCGTTGCATGAGCATCACGCAGGCGAGCATCTTGAGAGCACGCAGGATTCCACAGTGGATGAAGGCGCCCGCGACTACATGTCAACCACCTAGTCCCTAAACCCTATGAACCCTAAATCCTAGCCCCTAAACCCTACGCCTGAAGAAAAGAAAAACCCTAAGCGCCGACAACGCAGGTGAGAGCCTCAGGCGAGTCTTGGACGCGAACCCAGTACCTCCATACAGCCCGACCACAGGACATCCTGCAGCTAAACTCAACTCAATGTAGTGCGTTGGGTCATGTTTGGTTAGTTTGCTTCTTATCCTTTACAAAACTTGCAGGAGCCTCCGATGCACCTGCAGCAAGCCCCACTGATGAAGGCAGGACTTTCCGAAACCCCCAACTCTTCCAAGTTTCAAGCCCTTCACCCCCACCCTTGGGGACCCACCCTTAGAGGCCCTTCACTGCCATCCTAAACCCCCCACCCTTCGAGCCACCCTTAGGAGCCCTTCACTGCCCTCCTAAACCCCCACCCTTAGAGGCCCTTCACTGCCATCCTAAACCCCCCACCCTCAAAGCCACCCTTAGGAGCCCTTCACTGCCATCCTAAACCCCCCACCCTTAAACCACCCTTCACTGCCCTCCTAAACCCTTCATTCTTAGAGGCCCTTCACTGCCATCCTAAACCCCCCACCCTCAGAGCCACGCTTGGGAGCCCTTCACTGCCCTCCTAAAACCCCCACCCTTGCCGGCCCCCCAACCTTAGAGGCCCTTCACTGCCATCCTAAACCCCCCACCCTTAGAGCCCCTTCACTGCCATCCTAAACCCCCCCACCCGTAGAGGCCCTTCATCCCCCACTCTTACGAGCCCTTCACTGCTGCCATCCTAAACCCTTATTTTTAGAGATCCCCCACCCTTAGGGCCCCTTCACTAAACCCCCAACACCCTTACAGCCCTTCACTGCCATCCTAAACCCCCCCACCCTTAGAGGCCCTTCATCCCCCACCCTTAGGAGCCCTTCACTGCCCTCCTAAACCCCCCACCCTTAGAAGCCCCACCCTTAGAGGCCCTTCACTCCCCACCCGAATACGCGAATAGGCCCTTCACTGCCCTGCACCCCACCCTTAGAGGCCCTTCACCCCCTCCAGCTTACCCTCACCCATCTACCCAAATCTAAGCCCCGAGCCTGAAACCCAAAGATCAATCAGCCAGGTGCATCCAGTGACGATGAGAGTGGAGATGTCAGTGGCGTTGAGAGCGAAGTGACGCCCGCCCCCGTCCCTTGCAGAGAGCGCGCAACGTTGAAGACCCCCCCGGCAGCTGCCCCGCTGTGGCTTCGATCAGATGATACCTTGACCCCGGCGGCGGTGCCTGCAGATGAGACAAAGCTTGGCAGGCGGGAGCGAGAGGTCGCTGCAAAGGCCAGCAAAGATGCCAAGCCGCGCAAGGCTTCTTTCGGCAAGCGGAAGAGCAAGGCGCACGGGTCCGACAGCTCGAAGCGGGCCAGGTCTTCGGGGCACGCCGTTGCGCATGTGCCTGCAGAGAATGAGCAGGCCCGGACGCGGGCCGGGGCTTCGGAGAACGCCCTTGTGCCTGCAGAGAATGAGCAGGCCCTGCCGGCCGAGGTGCCGGAAGGCCCGTGGTTCAAGAAGCACAACATCGCTTGGGTTCCTGAGGCAGCCAGGCCCGTGGGTGACCTGAACAAGTTCAAGGGGGACCACTCCTGGACGATCTCCGACGGTGTGGCCAAGGTGGAAGTCCTGTGCCGGCAGAAGGCGTTCTACGTGAAGCAGATCAGAGATGGCGGTGCCGGCCCGAAAGGGCAGCTTTCGATCGCGAAGTTTTCTTCTGCTGAGGAGGCCTGGCAGAATGCCAAGCTTCGCAGCGGGATGTTGTAGGAAGGCCTGGTGGGTAGCAGCAAGCTCGAGCCGAGCTAGGCGCAACCTCCAACCGTTTCCTAGGCTACCCCCCTCCGAACTTGCAACCCCATAAGCTCGGCTATGAGGCTGGCGTTCTGGACAATGCCTGGCATTGTCCAGCGTAGGATCTTTGAGCTACAGTGTCTTTCGAGGAGGCTGAGCAAAGCATGAGAAGCCTCATATATTTTGCAGCAACGTAACAAATCGCATCGATCTCATGCTGATTTTGAGGGCCCTTCCGATCCCACATCCGCGAAGTTGAGGCTCTTT